GGTGTTCCACAATCCAAAATCTGCATTCTTCCCTATTTCCTACCTTTCCCTTCTAACCCCATTTTCTCAGTGCCTTAAAATTTAAATGGTAATGTTTGGTTGCTAAGTAATCTTGTATTGTAACTCATTCTTATATTTGCATTTGAAAAGCAAATGTGTAGAGTAAAAACCTGAAGAGGTGTGCCTTTTAAAAATGTTTTAAGTTTTTAAAATTTTACCATTTTAACAATTTTTAAGTGTATAATCCACTGGTATTAAGTCCATTTACATTGTTGTTCACCATCTACCTCTATATCTTTTTTTGGCTTGAAAAACTGAGAATTTGTACTCATTAAACAATAACTCCTGTCCCTGTAGCCCCTGGCAACTTTCACTCTACTTTTTCTTTCTAGAGTTCAACTATTTTAGATATCACATATAAGTAGAATCATGCAATATTGGTTATATTGTGATCATTCACCTAGTGTAATGTCCTCACAGTATGCCCATGTTTTTTTAGTGTGTGTCAGAATTTCTTTCCTTTTTAAGGTTGAATAACATTCCAGTATATGTATGTATGTATACCATGCTGTGTTTATCCATTCAGCTGTTGACGGAAATTTGGGTTGCTTTCAACTTTTGGTGGAAACATGTATATAAATATATCAATATTTTGTATATAGATGCAGCATCTTTCAATTTTTGTTTTGAGTACGTATCAGAAGTAGAATTGCTGGATAATATGGCAATTGTATTTCAAAATTCTGAGAATCTTTATAGTGATTAATTTGAAGAAATACACTGTAGAATGCTTTATCAGAAGCAAATTTCAAGGATCATTGAAAGGGTGATCAGTAGCCATGAATGAAGTTTCAGTTTCCTGGTGATNAGTGTTTTAAATTTTTATTTTGAAATAATCACATATAAAAATTGCCTATTTTTAGTGTACAGTTCTGTGAATTTTGAATATATTATATAGATCATATAACCAATACCTGATCAGGATTCAAAAAATTTTATTTCTCCCCAAATTCCCTTTGCTGGACTCAAATAATTCATGTGTTGGTGTCATTCATAATAGGGATACGTGAGATATATTAGAGAGTTAAGAAAAGGTGAAGATGGTTAACCAACCCCATTGTTCTCATAGGATTTGAGAGCTGTGAACAACATTAAAATTTATGATTACCACTACATATATTTATAATTAAATATGCCCAGGAGAAGTCTACAAGTTCAGCCATTAGATTTAATTTTGTTTCTGTTAAGGGATTGGAATTATATAGGAGTCTGAAGTAGTTATTATATAGCCAGTCTGGTATTGCACTTTTAATTTTTAATATAAGTCATTTAAAAACTTATTAATTCAAAATTTGGTAAGAGAGTGTCCAAGTGATCTGTTCTGGACATGGATACTTTCTGAAAGAAAGAATTATAATCATGCAATTCTTTTAATTGTATGACAGAATTGAATAATATAAAGAAAAATTAATACTATTTTATAGTTATTCAACAAACTGATAGAAAAATGTTGGGTAATTTTAGACAGGAGAACACTTTATATTTTATGTGTTATCATAAGATTTCATGGTGATTCCAGTGAAAGATCAGAAGATTCTTCAACCAACTCAGCTGAACCTTCAATTACTTTGAGACAAAGTTTTGGCTGCTGTATCAGGAGATCGACAATTATAAGCAATGGGTGTTTGTGGTTTGGCATATTGTTGAGTAATATCCCCCGGCATGGCTTTGCTTTTTATATCCATACATAATGGTTTATTGCAATCAGTGTTTTTATGATCAGCTCTCCTGTGGAGCTGTATGGGGTCGCCTAAGATATTATATATTCTCTTTAGAGTTGGGCATACAGAATATAGAGGCCTTGTTGTGGCCCATTTAGGGTCCTAATTGAGGTAATGGGAAAAAGGTAAACTTAAAGTCTTGATAATCTAGTGACCATACTCTGGTGTCTTATCTGGCCTTTCTGAACAGAACTGAGCTATCACACTAAATGGAGAGGAGAAAGTGACCTCAGTGACAGGACTCCAGGCTTGAGGGCTTCATTCTAGTCTTTGCAGAGGGAGATCATTTTTTTTCCCCTGCTATTTGGCACACGATAGGTAACTGGGCAGTCATTGGCAGTGAGGAGGTACGTTGCCATAATAATCAGTAGACCCAAAGAGCTATAGAGATCACTCCAAATGGCTTAGCCTTCTTATCAGAAAGGGATTTATTTCTACCTTAGGTGAAATAACAGCAGAAATACGTGTGAGGATACATGATAATTATATCTTATGCTTTTTTCATGTTCCATTATATGTAGTATTTTCAAATAAGTGTTATCACCTAGTTCTATCATGGATACAAAGACTGAACCCAGCAGTTGGTGAAGTCATTGGTCTTCTTTTCAATATACAATTGTACTGATGTTTATTTTAACTGTAATTGTTTTTAAATTAAGAGTTGGTTGATTCAAAATGGAACTTTGTGTTGGGTGAGACTCTCAGCCAGTACACAGAGAAGTTTGACGCCACCCACAGCAATTTGCTAACCAGGAAACCCCTGCTTCCTGTTCTAGGGCAGCAGCAGACATAGCCCAGCATTTCTTCTCTCCCCCTGTCAGAGTCATCTCTCCTTGCAGAGCCCTGACGTGAAGAACAAGACATTTTCAGTTTAGTAGAAGAAATAAAGGATGTTGCTTTCCATCCTCTGAAGGTGGTCATGGCTTCCATGTGGCTGGGTAAGGATGGCCCCCCCACACACACTTGGGAATGGGCCTCCTCTATGACTAGGATTGGGAGTCCAGGCAGCATATGGGTATCCTGGGAAGGAAACATAGCAGGGTGTGAAAAATAATTTCTTTGCCCTACACCATTTATTCCCAAACTTTGTGATTGTGTCTTTTTTTTTTCAGGATCCAATATTGCCCAGAAGGTAACTCAAGACCAACCAGCAATGTTAGTGCAGGAGAAGGAGTCCGTGACCCTGGACTGCACATATGACACTGCTGTTACTACTTATTATCTATTCTGGTACAAACAGCTCAAAAGTGGGGCAATGATTTTCCTTATTCGCCAAGATTCATATAACCAGCAAAATGCCACAGAAAGTTGCTACTACTTGAATTTTCAGAAAGCATACAATTCTGTCAGCCTTGTCATCTCGGCCTCACAGCTAGAGGACTCCGCATTGTATTTCTGTGCCCTGGGAGAGCCCACAGTGAGAGGTGTGTTTGAAGGAGGTGTATCAAAACCCCAAGGCTCTGCTTGAAGCATCCACCTGCTGTAGAGACCAAGGCCAGGAATTGCCATCACAGACAGGAAGTGGTGAGGTCTGTGGTAACATATTATATGTGTAGAGTTATCATTCATCAAAAGATTGAAAATTTGGTTTGAAATTGTTTATTAAAGACACAGAGCAGCCACAATAAACAATTTGCCGTTTGATGATAGATTAAGATAGAAGAATTGACTAAGGACATTCAGGAACATCCGGCTCAAACATCAGTAAAAATATGTGTGAATTGTTGGATTTTCAGATAAATTTTTCCATAAATATTTAGGGACTATCTTTTATGTTATAGGTATGGACTGAAAAGGGGCCACATATTAAACCTGACAAGCTCCAGAGACTGAAAAATAACCACATAAGATGGTCTGAACATAAGAATTCCTAACTAAAAACAAAGCGAGTCATGGCCAGTAGTCACATCCTTGGCCTGTAGCTTCCTTAACAAAGATCAATCTTTACCTTAAGTGAGCCTGTCGGTCATCTTTTTGCTTTTAAAATAATATACTTTTGCAATATCAGAGTAATCTCTTTATCCGGACCACCCCCTCTTCCCCCCAGGAGGTACAACCCACCACACCAGAGCAGGAAACTACAAAATCCCTCATTGCTATCTTGTTCCCCAAATACTATCTCTATGCTCTGTAAAATGCTATTAACTATCCTGTACCTGATGCGACGCACGCACCAACTGAGCGTTCCTGACTCATCAGTCAGGAACCCACCTGAAAGGGTACCTGAGAGGACTGGGTGGGAGACTGGAAAAGAAAGAGACTAGAGATGAAAGCTGGGGACAGGAGGTCCACCCAATGCTGATGGCAGAGAGTGGCCTCGCTTATTATTTGTATACAGCTTTTATAGCAAAAGTAACTTTCCTAGGGTAGGGGTT